TATATATATATATATATATATATATATATATATATATATATATATATATATATATATATATATATACACATATATATGTATGTATATTTATATGTACATATTAAAAACCATCTTCACGGAGTCCATTTAATACTAAGAAACTAATGTGTATATGTGTGTCGATTAAGCCTATCGTGACGAATACTGTACAATTAGCAATATACAAATATTCGCTAAAAACTATCTTCACGGAGTCAATTTAATACTAGGAAACTAGTGTGGGCGGGTGAGTGGGTGTGTGGGCGTGCGCGCGCGCGTGTGTGTGTGTCGATTATCGTGACAAATACTGCACAACTAACAACATACATATATTTGTTAAAAACTTTCTTCACGGAGTCCATTTAATACTAGGAAACTTATAAGTGTGTGTGTGTGTGTCGATTAACCTATCATGACGAATACTGCACAACTAGTTACATACATCATCTATAATCGTGGAGCGACTCGATGACCACGCCTAAGATCGTATTGTCGAAGTCCGAAAGAAAAAAGTTTGGCAAGATTACTATTTCCGGAGCACCAATTTTTGACTACAGATTCGTCATGCGCAAGTCATTAAAAACAAAAGTTCAAGAGTAGTGAAAGTAGCGATGTAGCTTAGTTTAGAAGATATAAAGGTTTTTAGTTGCAATTTACAGAAATCGATAACGCGTTTTTGTCATTTGCAGATATATGTGAATATGTATGCATGAACGCGAGTTTCAGCAGAGATAAGGACTCCACGATTCGTCACTTCCGCGGTATTTACCGACTCCAAACCCTCTCTGCTACATGAATACGCACCTCTGTATATGTATGTACATGTATGTATGTGTATATCAGTGTGTCTGTACGCGCATGCAGAGTCATGCCTTCTCGAAACAAGATATATATTTTATATATATTAGATACATTTTTTTTCTGTTAAATTTTCGCTAAAAACCTTTATATCTCCTAAACTAAGCCAGATCGCCATTTTCACCACTTGAACTTTTGTTTCTAATGGCCTGTATATGACGAATCTGCAGTCGAAATTTGGCGCTTCGGGAATTGTAATATCCCCGAAAGGTTTTGTGCTAATTGCAAATATAATGTATCCTCTGCTACGGAGGAATAAGCGGAGCGTTGTGTATTATTATTATTATTGATTTCCTAACATATAACCCTAACACATACGCAGATACAGCAACATTCTCGTCCGCGAAAGTAGATCGATCGTGTCCTTTTTCGCTTGGTCTCGAATGTTGCTGAATCTTGACCGCGTCTCGCCCCGAGTAAGAACCATCGATAATTACACAATGACAGCACTCAACTCTGTCGCTTTTCTTCGAATATTTTCCCTTTTCACGTTCGAGTTTTCATGTTTTATATATTGACTGCGAGTGATCAAACTTAAGCCTACTAATAAATTAATCGATAAATATTACGTGTGTATACCGTACGAGTAAAACGAGAGCTCTAAACAATTTTAGAGTCTACATTTGCGCGAGAGCGTCTCGCGGTCACTAGCTTCTCACGGCGGCCAGGATCCTGTTTTCGAATCTTGTTACCTAATAATTCTATCTGGTATGACTCACATAGAGAACATGTACCGGCTTCTACCTAAATGGAAGAAAGCTCAATTCGCGATGAAACTTCGCGGCGTAAAGTATTTAAATCGCAAGATGTACACGCTCTTAAGGAGCACTATATAGTAGTAGAGCTTTGGAAATGGCGATTTCTCATTCCTGAACGGAAGGTACATGGTATTTTAAGTATTTTGAGACTTGTTGAGCGTCGAGAGACCGCAATAAGTATGCGAAACGCGAGTGATCTAAATAATCACTTTTACTCTTTGAATGTCTCAAACTTCTCTTTCCTCTATTTTCTCTCTCTCTCTCTCTCTCTCTCTCTCTCTCTGTCGATTGTATTCCGCGTTCGAGTAATCTCGAAATCAACAGGAGAGAACGACTGCATGCTAAATTAACGAGAGAGAATGATGCATGTGAAGAGGACCATATGAGTTGTAATGTTGGATCACTAAGATATAAGATGAATTAAAGCCGAATCGACTACTACGCGCGTCGAGGAACTACTTTGCGCCGGACAGCCTTTTCGTCGTATTTCCGAATCCATGGACGCGCGCAGTCTTCGACAATCACGGACAGTCGTTCGTTGGTTGACACGTCATTCACTATTTACATTCGCGACTGAGAACGCGCGTTCTCCACCAGTTGATTTTATACATCGGAGTGGTGATTGTTGTTTTTTTGTGGAATGTTTTCTTGGGGGATATTTTCTTGAGGGACATTTTCGTGTAGAATGTTTTCTTGTGAGACATCTTCTTGTAAAACGTTCCCTTGCGAATACTCCTTTAACATCTTTCGCAATCGCCTAATCTCCCTCGACGCCTCCGTCAATTGAGATTGCAGCTCTAATTCTCTTTCTCGATGGTGTTTGAGATCGCGTTGACATGACTGCAAATACAAAAGAATTAAGATCCTCGTTGCAAGTTCGAAAAACTCCACGAAAACGTAGTTGTTACATTTATCTACGTTATTGTATATTTAAAAGGTGGTACCTCAGTAGCGATGACAGAATCAGATTTGTGGGAAAAGACAGTTATACAAGAAAGTTCATTTGTTAGGTTCGTTTGTTTGTTCATTTGTTAAAAGATTTCCGGTATTGTTTACAATTCTGCGTGGCTTACCACATTTTGTCGTAAAAGCTCCAATTTATCACATTTGAGCTTAGTGATCTCCGTTCTTAGGGCCTCAGGGCTCTCGTCGCCGTCCTGGGTCGTGCACCTGACAGTGTCATGGGTCTCCGCGGAGCTCATAGAATCGAGACCCGTGTCACTGTCATGGTGCAGGGCCTGATCAAGCTCGAGTTCGCTGTTGAGCGAACTGCCATCACTCTCCGAGATGACACGTTGCGAAATCGTTACCATCTGTTCCATCGCCGTAAAAGTCGTCGTGGATGTTGATGGCAACGACAGCAACGCGTCCAACGACACGATAGCCTCTGTCGCCGTTGTCACCTTTTCCTGCTGCGCCGCAGCTTGCTCTTGAGTACACGGAAGACTCTCGTTTGTCGATCGATGCATTATTGCCGACGTCGATGCCGTTGAGATTGTCGTCTGGTTTACGACATTGGTGTCATTGTCAGACATGTTATTTGACGACTCCTTGCGATCGGACTCCTCTTGTTGCACCGTCGCCAGGCTGCTGTCCTCATTGTCGATGTTGAGCAAAGTGCTATCATCACTACTCTGACTACCGCGTTCCAAGTCCCTTCTCAGGGTGAGATCCGGCGAGCTGACAGGGCTAGGCGGCTCCACGAAGCGCCTGCTACTGCTGCTACCGGCGCCGCCGCTTGTGCTTGGTTGCCGATTGCTCGACGGACTGGGCCCCGCGCTCTGACTTCTTCTCACTAAATGGTGTAACACGCTTTCCGTCGACGTGTTTCGCACGCGCGAAATCAGCGCCTTGCGAACAGTGTCTATGAATCGCGAGCCGCTACTACTTCCCGAAGCGGGCACGTTGTTCGTGGTCGGGCTTACCGGACAGACGTTTAAGCCGGCGACGTTTAAGGTTATAACATCGCCGAGAAACTCGTTGGTTTTGCCTTGTAAATCCTCCATCAGCGATTCCAACAAAGCTGACCTAGTCCGTAGCTGAAAACCGCATAGTCTAATCAGTCACTCTACATATGTTTCCAGAAATAGTCGCAACAGTCAGAGCTATTTAAAACGTAATAAACAGTTATACAAGTCCGCAAAAAGGAAACAGTTTTCTGCCTCGCGCAAAGGAAGAAAGCACAGCGAACCAATGCAAGGAGACTGCTCACCTCCAATTTGGAGAACTTCTCGGCCTTATATGCAGCGTTCTCAGCATTTATCAGCTTCGTCAGCAAGAACTCCTTGAATTCGACACTTCTGAGGAAAACCGCCGGTGTCGGTAGAGTTGGTCCAAAGAAAGGAACGTCATTGCGCGCCGTAACGCTCATTTTGTACCTGTTTATTCGAAAGCAAAGTTTCACGTTTGCTCGACGACTTCTCCGTGAGAGTACAATTATTATTCGAGCGGAGAGCGAGCGTTTGTTTCTCCTCACGCGTCGAAAGATACTAGTTGAATGTATGGATACATTTCGGTTAATAGATCGCAGGTTTCGGGACACGGTGAGAAGAGCCGCGCGCGCGCCGTAAGCGCAGCAACGACGTAAATCTAAGAATATACCTTGTGTTAGGAGTGCAGGGGTCGATGACTTGCACGACGATGAAGGCATGTAAAAAGTGACTGGCGATCATGTCCGGACTAAAGGGTGTCGCTTCCTCTTGAAATATGATCGTGACGATATCGTTGCCGATGTGTCTTTTTCGTTGCAGTTGTTGCGAATCGACCTCACTATATGGAAGAAATGCAGAAACGTGGAACAAGAGTTCACGGCCACGGAACACCTCGTACATCGCAAATTTTCCGGTATGACCATGTTGCGTGTCCAAACCGCCGCGATACCTGAAAAAAACGAGCGAATTAGAAAAACGCATTGAACAATACAACAAGACGCATGGAGGTGCAATCAAATTAAAATAACATACAAAATAATGATGAATTTATATCTATAAGAAAGAGATGTTGAGATACATCTTTTTGTTACGAAGTAAATCTTCTCACCCTCTGTGGTTTTTGAGATCGATCTTCTGACCGAGCAGATCAAGGAATTCCTGGAAGGCTGGCGTGATATGCCGGTTGCCGAAGAGCTGTTCCTCAGTCACTTGGCCGAATTGTTGTTGAAGAACGCCGAACTTGAACTTGGAGATGAGAGCGTGCTCGTCGTATCGAGCTATCAGATTGCCAATACCAGGAGATACGATCGGTGTCAGGCTACTCATGTTCAAGGATTCATTGATTATCTGCAAAAACGTCGCAGCGAGTCGATGAGAAAGATGCGGTCGTGTTGACATGCGAATGCGCGTTAACATAATCGGCGAACGATTACGAAAAGCAAGGTCTTTCCTGTGCTCTATCGCGTCTCTCTTTCTCTCTCTCTCTTCCTTTCGTTCCTTCTCCTCATATCTTCCTCTCACTCGTTTCCTCGTTCACGATCGCGAGCGTACGTAACAACTGAGAGATAAAGCGCATACAAACACGGCCGCGGTTAAGTAATTTAGCGCGTTTACGCGTTCCTGCGCATCGACGGAAAGCCAAGACCAAATTTAATGTTGCCATCGCACCTCGAGTTTATAGAATCCTCCGCGATTGGAATTTTTTTCCCCAATCACACCTGAACTCTTCATAGTTTTCGTCTCAAAGTGCATGCACGATGGTCCTTGTAATTTTATTATTATTTACTTGTATTAATTTTACTAACTTTATGGCTCGCAATTTCATCCAATTTAGGATTTTATCTTTGAATTATTCTGATTTAGACGAGTGGGATCAAATTGTAAAGCAAGTCCCTTCTTGGCATGTAAGTTGAAGTAATAAATGGATAAATACTTTGATTTGATATTTTCGTGTGAATTTTCGGGAATTGATTTTCTGTATTCGCGCTTATCGTCGTGGTTGGACAGTGCGCGACAACGGTGATCAGATGTTTCCGTTGCACCCAGGTGAGTGCGCTCACGTGTATTTACGAGCAACGAGCGTGCTCTCCGTCCGACCGCGTTTAATAATTCGAGAACGGTAATAACCGACAGACAAGGCGAGGAATGAGGACATTGTTCGCGGGTAGAAGACCGCGTCTCCGCGAGATACCCGCGCGAACGCTAATTGTTTGATCTTAAAACAGTCTGACGCGCGGAAAACTAGGCCCGCAAACATTTCATTTCGCCGGTATTATATCTCGCCGCGTAAACACGACGCGACTGTTGTCCCAAGCATTCTTATTATCTGTCCAAACACACCGGATAATCGAGTATGCCACCCGGTATATAAAGCGTCGTCTCCGACGCGTAAACAGCGAGATGATGTATCGCGCGCGATAGCTCAACATGTATTTGGGACTCGACAGCTCAAAGTGACGATACGTGACATGATTCCTATGCAATATATGAATATCGTTGAAAGTTCAAAGGTTGCTGTTGCGCAACACCCCAGCCTCGAAAGAAGCTTTTATGTTGTTGCAACTAAATGTTTGATTTTATCACATCTACTAAGAATTATGATGTATAAATATTTTCCACAAAGCAAGAGAGCGCCTTTACGCTTCATGTAATCGAGATGCAAATTGATCTTTATATAATACAATTGTATCGTTGTGTATTCATCGTTTTACGGTATTTTTCCCGATAAATTTCTGCCAAGTTGTTTCAATCCTTTCGAGAGACACACGTGTCTACAATAATACGTAACTTAATATGTATTTCGGTGACTCTGAGAAAATCTTTTGTCGCTCAAGAAAACTTTTAGACAACTGATCCGTGAATACGAAATCACCTCTGATACGCGCGTCGACTGATTTTCATTTATCCTATTTTCGAGATGATGAAAGAAAGGTGCTTTCAACTTTCTGCGTGACGCTAGGAATTCCGTTCGTTCGCGCGTGCCTCTCGACAGAGAGTCACATCAAATTCTCGTCGCGACTCGTTCTAACCAGAGGAGAGGTGTAACGTTGTCATGAGTGAATGGCGTTACCTTAACCGCTTTTATCGACGTAGGAGTCGAGTTGAAATGTGTGAGCGGGATCAAGTCGTGCATCGATCCCTCTCGCATTCGCAACAATATCCGCCAATGTTCCTGTTCGGCGACCATCTCGCCCTTCACCGAGATCAGAATTGGATTGTTGTCATTGTCTTTTCCTATGAGGTTCGTATGTTCCTGCGGACAGAAAAAAAGAAGATAGGACGCGATATTTCTTTCACGGTCGTGCGGTAATTACGAGCGCAATTAATCATCGGTCTCTAAAAAACCGATCGTAAAAACCGTCGATTCTACTTTCGCCCTTATGACGCAGAACGATCGTCGAAATATCAGAAAAAGATTTACAGCAATCAAATTGGAAAAGTTCCGGCGACAATCCTAAATCGAAACAGGCTGGAGTGGAAAAGTTGATTTTTTATCGGCAGGTGATTTCCTGCGTTAAATCTATGCCAAGAATTTTGTGACATAACGCTTCCAGCGTGTTTCCAGGACTTCCGTCGTCTCGCGACTAAATTTTTACGCTGCTATATTTTTAGTAATTGACGTCGTCAACGAAACTTTACAAAAATCTCTCACAATTTTACCTCATTAATCGGACAACGAGATTTCTTTAGAGATTCGAATCCTGCTGTCCACACTGAGAGAAGATTATTATTGCTAACATTATATAGTAGAAATTTCTAATAAAGAGAGAAAGAAATTTCTTCACCATAATTTATAGTGATTATTTCTTTAAGTAATTATAGTTGCAAACATCTTTTTTCAGTGTACGAGTGAAATTTACAATATTATCGATGCAGCGACAAGGAAGTGATTTTGGCGAGAATGATTTCAGGTTAAAGTTTCCGCGAAAAAATTCAAGTAGAAAATTGGGATTCAAAGGTGCACTCTTGAGGTATTCGTTCGCTGCGAATTGAGGCTGAGAATTCAACGTGCTGAATCAATCGTGTGTGCACGTCAAATAGGGAAGAAAAAGCACGAGCTAACGATACGGCGACGCTCTCGGCGCGCAAGCACGGCGATGTGACATACATTAGAACAATTATGGCAGTTCGCGCGTTCCGGATTCAATTAGACATTGCGAAATCGCCGGAACAAGTATGTGGGTGGTTGCGGCCCTGAACGCGCACCGTATTACGCAGTAATATACGCACTCATGCAGACTTTGCCAACTACGGTTGTATCCTGCCTATGAGACACACGGTGTCTCACCGTAAGATATATCGGGGCCAGACGAAACATAACGTCTGCTCGGCGAGATTATCGAAAGGATCAATTGATTATGGAGTTAGTTTCACTCGTCCGTTATCACTCGGAGAATTCACGCCTGAGAGAATTCCATATCCGTGAAGCGGAAGCGCGGCAGATGGACGGACTAAGTCGCCGCTGATTATCGATTTCCGGATTTGTATTATCCTTCGCGATAGGATGAAGGAGCAAGTGTAACTCGTTGCATTGAAGCAAGTTCGATCCAGATTTTTTCCTCTTTGCTCTCTTATCTAAAGGAAAAAGGAAAAAAAAACAAGGAACGCGACACGCAGCGAAACAACTAATCGCCGTTGCGATAAGTGTTATCGTCGTCATTTTGCCGAAGTCATCGGCATTTCGTTGGAACGAAGATTGTCTCGGTCGACGTTGAGTATTTTTACTTCCTTCCAAATATGCCGAAATTTTTGACGAGACTGGACTGTACTCCTTTATCAAAATTCCGAGAGCGTGTGCCCGCGATTCCACGTTTACGACGTTTCATCTGGTAAGAAAGAAGAACGGGAGAAGCCAGACGACGAACATGCGTCCTTTCGTTTCTACAGTGCGACGAGACTTTCGTTCTATGACGGACGTAGGTAAAAGCGGCGATGTAGACGGCGAGTGGCGGATGCTTCCTTCGTTTTACGAAGACTCACGCGCACGAAGCTGGGTCGACAACAGCCCGATGCAAAAACGGTGCATCGTGCACGTCGGGCAAAAGTGTCGGCGGTTAGCTTAGAAAGATGCACGAAAGGTCGGGTCGCGCAATGGTGCACGCGGTGAAACGTACACACACACACACACACACACACACACACACACACGCTCCCTCCATCGTGTTTTACTAACCTTCGGATGGAAATGTGGCGGAGAGGAGGGAGTAGAAAGGGCAACGTGCCCGGAGTTCACAGGAGTTCACACTGTCGAGTTATTGTACGTACACCCATTATTATTATTATTATTATTATCATCGTTACTATTGTCACGAATGGCACATATCGCCGCTGCATTTTGGAGTCGTGTCGCATATTTCTCGAGTGTGTAAAAATGCGTAACGCGAGTTATGCCGGAAATCAGTTGCAACTTATAACTGAGATGAAGCGAATTACTATACATAGGAAAAACAGCTCTGTTGGCGCAGCTGGACTTTTTGAGGACCAGATGAAAAATTCGGTTGCAGGAATAGAAAGATTCCCGTTTCTATTTAGCGCCAATAGCTGAGCTCTCAGTTATCAGAATCGAGTATTAACGCAGCTGAATATTCGCGGAGAAACGCTTTCGGTAACAGCGAAAATATTATTTCACGTCAGCAAATTTTTCGCCCAGCCGCCCGTTCAGTTGCCCGAATTAACGATTTTTTTCCGTACGTACAAATTTATTAAATCGTGAATTAAAATCGTAAACGATGCGGCGCACGAGATGGCGTAATTCCAAAGTCTTTGACTCGTGATAAACTCGAGGGCGAAAGATAATGCGGCGTCTTCTTCGTATCGCCTTCCCGGTACCGCCTCGTGCCTATTATTTATTTCACATCGCCACGCGGAACATCGGCTCTTATCGAGCATCGTCGAGCACACGGCTCCTTATCGAGAGGAATCGCTGTTAAATGGCAGGAGAATGACGCCCGCGAGTCGCTATTGCTAAGCTCTCTCTCTCTCTCTCTCTCCTCCGACGGCGCGCCCTCCTATTGTAAGCAACGGACTTTTACTCTGTAACGCGTCCCTCTTTGTTCTTCAGGCACTCGATTAAATATCGTTAGCCGTTATGATCCGAGGTGTAACCGTTCGCTGTTACGCTTCGAATTACTCGCGCACCGTCGTTATCTGCCAGAGGTAATCGCCTCTTTCTTCTTCCACGTGCGGCTCCTTCTTTCGTTCGCTACGCAACAAACGACATTACTACGCCGGAACACGCGATACATTAACGATCACGTAGCCCAAAGATGGCAAAATCGCTGTGCGATTTACACTATGCGATTTTTAGATTGTCACGGGAGGAGAAGAGAGAGAGAGAGAGAGCGATTTGCGTGTTCCGAGATTGTGGCGCAACGCAATCCGCATGGATTAAGTACGCACCGATCGGGCTTAATTGGCACTCAACCGCTAAACGCGACGGTTACGCGCGCGCCGCTTTCTCCGCGGACATTTTTCTTTCTTTCTTTCTTTCTTTCTTTACGAGAGAAAAGAAGATCCACGAGAACGGGGTGAATACACTCGAGATCATTTGAAAAAAGTGACTTTTTTGTTCAATTAATATACAAGCATACAGCGGTAAATATCACAGCTCATCTACCATATGGCGCGTGATCATTTACGAATCTCCTGTAACGTCGTGCGGTTGTTCAAATTCTGCTCGGGCGGCCAACGACGACTCCTCCCTTACTTCACGATCTGTGGTGCTGATGTATAAAAACAAGAGTTGGGCGCCAGGTACGGTTACGGCCGTACCGCCGAGTAACAAGCGAGTTCGAGTTTCCTATTAGTTTCCTATTAGTCGGGGTAATTCCGCTAACCCAATACAGCCAACTATTCCTCGATGCACACGCGAACGCGGACATCATATAGGTGAGCGAAATAACTAACACGCGCGATTACTTAGCCTACGCAACTTCATAATTAGATTAGCGTTTATACAAAGAAGTTCGCGGTCGCGATGCTCGGACTTTACATTAAACGATTTACGGACGACAGTCGCTCATGTGATATCGCTTTACGGGATGTTCCGTGAGCGATAGGCCCAATACCGTCGTGGCTCTACCCGGACGTGAGTAACGGAGAGTTTTCGGCTTACGCACTATCGATCCGCAGGCGCTTAAACAACTCCGCACACACAATTTGCGGTCATCTCGATGATAGCTGCCTCGACCGCCTTTTCCGGCCATCGTGATGATAGGCGGGCAGTGGGACACCTGCGGGGACCTCGCGACTTGCCTCTCGTCGTGCCTGCTTTTCCTCGGGCCGATCTACCTAGGCTTGCCTGCTGCCTCAGCTGTTCAACTCGGGCCTCTCGGATACGCGACCTGGTCCTCCGGCGACAATCTCTGGTCACTAACTCAGACGGGAACTCCGTGCCGACTGCTTTCTTTCCGATCGATTTCGACGGGCTCCTCGAGTCGACTAACTACGACGGGATCTTCTGGCTGGCTACTCTAAGCGAGCGCAGAATTCGGAATCGTTGCGATCGCTTGCTGTTCTATCGTGGATTCTAATTCCGGCTATCTCGAAGCCGTCCCGAACTTACCTGCTCGATAACCGATGGTTAAGGGTAACCCCTCGTATTAACCAACCAATTCACGGTCGGTATCGCCAGTGCCTTATTAATAATAATTCTATATAACCCGCGCCACCATGTTACACTTATTTGATTAATAACTCAAAATTTCACGTGGTTGTTCAAAATGGTAGAGGAATTTTTTGTTCTGTTTGACCTAATCTAAGATATGGAGAACTCATAGAGCGTTACAATATAAACATTATTAGTCAAGACTAATGTCTATTAATACTGAAGTACTAATAGTAGTTATATAAAGAAGTAATAAACAGCAGAAGTAAATAAATACTTATAATAAAATAATATATATAAACACTGTAATGTATGCGAATGCGTCGAATAATAATAATAATGTGTCATCCGCGGCTCCTCCGTAAGTTACCGGATACTCTGTACATGTAACGTATAGTGATGGCGAACACGTTAAATGTAAGCTTGTCTTTCCTACTAAACGACGAAGCTTCGATAAATCTCTCATCGTCGATGGTTTTGCAACATTTTTATAACACTATTACTCACAGCCAATTTCCGTGTGATCCGCTAGCGGATACAGCGCGCACTTCCACGCGCGATATCGCGAGCGTTACCTCATCAAGTTATGACCCTCGTGCCATGCTTTACAAGTCGGAAAGATGATAACCGAGGTGTGAACCGAGCGAAAGGTAACGCATGTGGATAACAATAGGCGGAACGGGAACTCATCCGTCGAGCCTTATCTAAAAAAACCGCATAAGGCCGGAAGCGGAAAATAGCGTGCTCTCTCTTTCTTATACGACGCGCCATTTGACTCGCTAATTAGTGAATCTACGTTGCAGTCGCGCAACATTCGCGATAATGCGTGACGCTACAGTCACAAATAAACGATCATCTCTCTGTGATATAATAATCTCTTTGTGATATAATCTCTCTGTGATATAACAATCGCGATGAGGAAATGGGCTTCGGCCGAACAAGGGCTCGGCAATATTGACCGAAGGGCTAGGTGGAAATTCGCTGTGAACGAGAATCATTTAGGAAGAGCATCATTCCTCGCGCGGTAAATAAATATCAGATAAACGACAATGATTGGCTATAGTGATGCAAGAATGATCCAACTCGCAAAATTACGATTTTTGAGTCTCTGTTACCAACGGGTGGTCCACACTGGTCTTTCTGCATAAACCAGATCCAAGTTTAAAGTTAACTAAAAAACAGTTTTCATTTCCTACCACCAGTTGCGCCGCTTTTTTTACCAGTCGCACCTGTTTTGATCAGTTTTTAAGCTTGTCAATGAAAAGAGAAGGAAATTGACCATGCTTGACTTGTTGAACGATTGCAAAGAATCTTTTACGCTATCGTATACTTTTTCAACCACGTATCAAATTTTCATCTTTATTTCCTTCTTTTTCAAAACATATTCCATGCGAGTTGGATTATTCTCGCACAATTACGGCCAATTGTTTCCGCGGTGAAGAAAAATTTTCCACTTGGTTCGGTGCTCGCTACCGAGGAAACTTTCAATTGTGCCGATGTTTTTCCACTTTCCGTATCTTTTCGCGAGCTCGCAATGCAGGGAGCCCTCGCGCGTTGCCTATGGTGTCTGCCCTTTCTCTATTCAAGGGCATTCTCGCGCAATTTATACGCGCATTAAATTGCGAGTCTTTTCTTTCATCCTCTTTTTTTCTCTCTTTTTCTATTTGTGATGCTTCTCCTGTCACTTCCGAGGGAGATTCCTCGACGCATCGTGACGATGATTCGACGTCGACGAAGGGAGGAAATGAGGGAGAAAGCCGGAGGGGTGTGTGAATGGATGGGTGTGTAGGTAGGTAGGTAGGTAGGTAGGTAGGTAGGTAGGTAGGTAGGTTGGTAGGTAGGTAGGTAGGTAGGTGAGTGAGAGAGGGCGGCGAAGAGTCAGCAAGCGGAAGAAAATCGCGCGCGGGGATCGCGAAAACGACCGACGTGGATGAATGTTGGAGAATGAGGAGGAGAATGAGGAGGAGAAAGAAGAGGAGGTGTAGAGGAGACGAGGAGGAGGAGTAGGAGGATTCCTCTTGGTTCCAGCCATCGGACTCAGTCGTGGACTATGAGAACGTTCCCACTCCCACGTCCAAAGTGCTCTTTTCCTTTTCCTATGTGCCTCTTTTCTCCGCGCTTCGCCCCCGCACCGTGACTCTTCCTTCTCCTCTCTCTCCTCCCTCTCTTCGGGAGCCTAGTCTTCTTCTTCTTCTCCCGGTGTGTGTGTGTGTGTGTGTGTGTGTGTGTGTGTGTGTGTGTGTGTGTGTGTGTGTGCGTACCTCTTTCTTCTCGCACACCTACTCGCGTGCATACTCACGCTTAGGTGATCGCGGCTCGATCGCGGCTCGTTGCGTTCTTGCGTGCCGCGAAGAACACGCGGTTCCAGGAGCGAAACGGCGTCTCGCGGCACCCCGATGATCCCCCCGATAATCGACGAGCTCGAATCGTTCGAGAGATGATCCGCCATGCCAGGATGAGATGTATAATAAAGGAAACGCGAGAGAGGAGAATACGAGGGGTTGATATTTCCGGATATATCGGCGAGATCTCGACACGTTGCCTCGTTCCAGTGACATCTGTCAATTTCGCTCACGCATATGAGACTCAAAGACTACTACTCCCGACATTACTTCCTACTGTCTCCGATTTCCGTACAATCTCGTTACGAGAATTCGAATCGTAGAGCCCGGATGGCTCCGAGAGAACAAATGCGCGCCGACCGCGCCGCACGCGATCATCACTAGTCCGTTACATTCTCGGAAAGAATACAACGGAATACTTTTAACTCGCGTGACCTCTCTTTGTAAATCCATTGTCGTTCAGACGCCCCGTCGCGAATTGGTGTTTTTTTGGCCCATCGTCTCAATCTCCGTCAAAAGTATCGCCATTATATTCTCACGTTCGCAAAAGGGCACCGTAACATTGGCCTCGGCCGAAAGAAGATTCCTTATACGTTACATAGCGCGACACGTCAACCAATGACGCCATCAACCAATTCCTTGTCTTTCTTCTACCTGCTTAAAATATATAAAACATCGTGCGAAACTCACTCTGCCGACGAAAAAGCGACGATAACATTTGCCCATGTCGTCCAGGTCTATTCTAAGTTGCCAGGTCGGTTGCCGTGGTAGCAATGGTTTGCCGTTCGAGTCGACAGCATGTTGATGGTCGGTACCGTCGACCCAGTATCCGGGTGGCGTGACGACTAAGGGTGGCTCCGTACCGGATGCAGTAGACTGCTGCAAAACCATTTCCATGAGCGCCCTTCCCAAAGACAAGTCGCCTATCGGCATGGAGGTACGATTGCTGCACGCGCCAGGGTTTGACGTGGACGCCTCATTTCTCCTCGATGTCTGTAAAGCAACAAGAATTTGCAGTTGTACGATTGATGAACTCAAAACTGAAGATCCGATGTGATTTATGCCGAGGATAGCGGAATCGTTGGTGCAATAGAAGGGGGAATGATTTCTTGTGCGAAATAAATTGCAACGTGGATTCTAACGAGACGTAGAGAATGCACGGAGTTTCCTCGCTACGAGGTTGCCTCGAGGAAACCGATAATAAAGATAACATATATTTTTTTTTTTTTCTTATGAGCGCAGACTTTCAAGAATTTCACACACTAGGAAAAAATCTTTGATATTTCAGAGCCGTATTAATAATCGTTACTGGAAATTTATGTCGAGTAAGATATTTAGGTCTAAACTCAGAGTTAGATGAGAGTTTTTCATTTGAATTATAATTACAGATACAAATGTCACACATGCAAAATTTGGATCTGACTCTCTGAATAAAAATCTGAGTATCTCACTTGAGATAAATGTCGCGTAATGATTATTAATACGGATCTAAGACTTTGGTTAAGTCATGCTGGAACTCGGCACTCTAGCCGAAGGAACACTGAAAGTGCGCGTTTTCACCTTCATGAAATGAGTAGTTTCCCCTCTATGAATATTATTTCATAGTTACACTCCTTACAAACTCCGTCCAAATAGTTCGACAATATAAGTGATCATCGCGAAGAATGTCGGTACTTCCATTATTGGCGACTTCTTCCCGTTAAAGCTACAAGGCTCGGACCGGTTATCGGTCACCGTCGCTTATCAGTCGCCGTCGTCGTACGTATGTAGAAGTTCGATCGCTTGTTTTTACAACGACCTGCTGTTGTATCACTCGTCTCTTTCGCGGCGAACGATCGATCGACGAGAGGACAGTTTGTCTTTTGGCGCGTGCAAGTAAACGCGAATGTCATGGGAAGAGAGGCGAGTAGGTCGAACGATACGACAAGCCGATACCGAGGAACTTATATTACTTGTCGCCTTTGGAGAAACGGAAACGAAGTATATGTTCACGTGTCACTCCACCATCCAGGTGTGCACTCACACGATTCTTATCAATTTAGGGCCAATTTGGTTATCGAGCATTACTCGGCACTCGGACACTTGTCGGTGCCAGTTGTCACAGCTGGCGGTATATAACGCGCATCGCGCGTAATTCTAAGCGTCTCGTTCTATTCACACACGCACGCAGAGGACAGATCATTGTTAGCTTATTTCGAACGTAACCTTAATACCTGCGCTCGCGGCGTCGAGTGTATCTTGTCTGGTAGCTGATACGAATACTAATCTCTGAGATCGATACGACTAATAACTATAATCTCTATGCGTAGTTGGCTTCGGAACGATTAAGCTTTAATTAGTGCAATAGCTGTCAAAGCTCCGCTGGAACCACACGTGTGTGTGTTTGTGCACTTAGGCTCGCGGCGATTGTTCGATTCGCGTGGCTGGAAACTCATGAAGATCAAACGTGAAATCGAGAAAGCGTTTTTGGCAACAGATGAACAAAATGGAGATATCGTTACATATATTCTCTAAATTTCTTTGAATCTCACAAAAAATGAACAAAAAGTGAGATTTCCACTCGAGACGATAGTAAGGATATTGCCATTCGAAATCGCAAGAGCGAATGTGTTTTGCTCAAGCTCAGGACTTTGAGTACACATGAACGAATATTAATCGATTCAAATGAATATGTTTCTGTGATAGCGAAGTATATCGGATTTATTCTTGAATCTCGAGTGAAAGTCATTCAATTCAGAGCGGAGAATATGAGTGAGAGGTCGCTCAAATTCGATGTTTACTCGATCTTTTGAGTGAAATTTCACTTCAAGAATTTTGCAGAGTAATTCTCGCGGAGGCGCTCCTTTAAATAAAATATTATTTAGAATTGACAAGCCGCACAAAGAGAAGAAACCGACTAATAATCAAGTGCAAAAATTGGACTTTTCAATGAGACGTTCTTTATTCCGATTCTTTGCTGAGAATCAACGACGCAGCCGTGTTGTCGCGTTCGCGCGAACCGAGCAGCTGCGCGTGGATTTCTCCGGTTGTGCGCGCGTAAACGCGGTCGCGCGTAAAAGCGCATTTTCTCCCGATCCTCATTAAAGGAAAATCGCGACTCGCGCGTCGTCGCGCGAGTGTAATCGGCCATTTCGAGTTTATAACTACGATTTAACCCCGATTCGCTTCTGCGACCACTTTGCGACTCAGCCCAAAAAGTCTTTTTATGAATCTCTCACGCGGCTCGGTTTGAAATCTGACCGTTCACGAGGATACCGACACGTCATTGTTGCTCTCTTCACCAATAATCCGTTTTGTATTATCTTTTATTTTATATCACACTTAGATTCCCATCACACTTACAAATAAACCTACCTAAAAGTTACCCTCCGATTTTTTTCTAATTTGGCACAAATGTAAAAGTACAAAAAAATATTTAGGTCATATTTTTTCATTTTGGCTCACTTTGAGTTTCACGGGCAGTTTATAGCTTTTTAATGTTCTCACTCCTATCATCAATAAATGCAAAAAAATGCATAAGAAATAAAATTGAATACAAAATATAGACGTTTTTGGTTTACTGATTATGAATATGAAGTCAAATATAAAATTATTACATATTAAGTAAAATATTTGTATAAATAATAAAATGTTTAGACAAAACATTTAAAAAGTTGAAAAAAAATTATTTATACAAATAATTTCTCGGTTTGTCTGAGATTCGAATTATTTTTGGCTAATTTAGCACAGATTTTAAATATTTCGGTTAGAATCCTAGCTAAAGAAATTTAGAATGGTTCGTGTTTCAACTATGCCGATTTTGTTAAAATTATTTAATTACATCTTGTATTCAATTTTATTTCTTATGATTTATATTTTTGTTGTACTTGTTGACGATAGGAGTGAGAACGTCAAAAAGCTATAAACTGCCCGTGAAACTGAAAGTGGGCCAAAATGAAAAAAATATGACCTAAATATTTTTCGTACTTCTACATTTGTGTCAAATTAGAAAGAAATCAGAGTGTACTTTTTGGATAGATTTACTTGTTAGAGTCAAAGAAGAGAGTACCCCTACAGGGGAACGCTACAGCATCATTATAATGACGAATATTAACGCAAAAGCGACTCAAAATGACTCGGAAAATGAGAGAAAAGAAAACGAGTTGTCGCAGCAGTGACAAGAAGAAAAGTTTCGCGTTTGAAACTTAGTTTACCGAAAACTATCGCGCTCGGTGAGTCAATTGGCTTTTACGTAATACCTCGACGGAGGAGAAGCGAATCGCTCGGGATCGATATCGCTGCTCGCGAGAAAATTCGTCCGAGTCTCCTCTGAGAAGCGCACACGATCGGTTGTATATAATCGATATATTATGATCCCTCTCTCCTCTCCTCTCTCATCTCTCCCTTGGCGGGATGATGTTCGTCGAGGTGCAGGCCGCGATATACATATGTAGGCTTTATCGATCCAATCGGCGAGGTGCAAGCGATATTACCATTGCCCGTCACGCGTATGTACATGCCGTCGCGCACATGTGTCGTTGGCTCACCTCCCAGATGCACGTGCCGTATGCAACGTCGCGTATGCGACCGCTATGCGACTCCGAAATACCGGCACAATTTTGCTATCGAATGGCAGTCGGAGGCGTCCTCCTGGCGCGACGTAATCATCTACCTTGATTATACGGTCGAATACGGCAGCCCGAGAGCGTGCATCGCCAAGTTAATTGCGGTGATTTTTCGAGGTTCCTTTACGCACGAGAGCCCAACACGTCGGCTTTCAATTAAGCAGCCAATTTCGCGCGCGGTTTTGAATCAACCCTCTTCGAGGAGGGGACGCGCGCTTGTTTATGAAGCGAATTCCACTCGGGAGGGATGATCTACTTTCTTTCTTTTTTTCTTTCTCTCTCTCTCTCTCTCTCTCTCTCTCTCTCTCTCTGTCTCTTTCTCTTCATCGTACGTCTGATTCACCGATAAAGTTGCCGAGAAAGGCTTCTTCGCGGCAAATATAACCGCGAAATCATATCGCCTCGATGGATCCGGACCGCGTTTGAGACGTCTCAACTGCTGCTGTTACTACCGCGAGCCCTTCTGCCTGCCGCTCGACGATATCCCACTGGAATCGTTCTATTTCGAGTTCGGTTCTGTACGAGTGACGCACCGGCAGAACGAACAGGATTTTAACGAGGCCGCGGAGAGGTGCGAGCGCGTCGAAGACGGCGGAGAGAAACGACCGAGTGGTGTAAAGCGCGGTTGAAAGTAATGCGGATGTGGCCTCTCGGATTACGTTTCTTCAGGGTCTTCGTCGATTTTTTTGTGTCTGTGTTCTTTCTCTCTCTCTCTCTCTCTCTCTCTCTCTCTCTCTCTCTCTCTCTCTCTGCTTATTTAAAAAGAAGATAGACCAAGTCATTGCGTGTCTGCGGAGGAGAAGACGACTTCTCATCGTCATCGTTCTCCTTTTGCTCCTTTCGCCCCGCTCGCCCGCTAATTTTAAGCACCTCTAATTCCGAGTGCGAGCGAGGGAGAAGGAGAAGAAGAAAGCCAAAGATGCAAGTATCAAAAAAGAATGAAGGAAGCGAGGAAAAGAGTGAAAAAGAGAGAATTAGGCGCAGCCTAAGCCAAATATAAACCACAGCGCGCGCGACCGGGTGAAGAACTGGAGAAGAAAATATCGCAAAACGCCTCGGTTTCGACTAGACGAACAGGCTCGCCCGTTATATTTAGATTATTTTCGGAAAGATACGGACGTGATCGTGATTTTGGCTCGGTCCGATCGGGACGCGACCAAGTTGCGTGTACACATGAATAGTAAGCAAGAACCGGAGATGTCGATTAAAAGCGCGTTAATATCTTACCCGGAACACCTAGTGTTACATTTGTAACATTTGTATAATATGCACTTACTTTCATTAAGAAGTGCATTGAAAGTGAATTTTAATTAAATGCTAACTTTGGACCGCTTAAATAATAAACATGTGACATTAAATTGTAGAATATCTGAATACAAATTGCTCGAA